CGACGCGGGGCCCCATCCCAGGGCTGGAGGTATCTCGCCGAGCCCATCAGCGTCGAGGAGACAATGGCAACTCCTGACGAGACTGCCGTGGCGGCCTCTCCAGTCCTCAGAACCCCTGAGGCCGCTAGTTGATGGCCTCCTCTGCTTGCCCAACCATGAGCCTGCTCCACCGCCGTCTGCGAAGTGAAGCGCGTCTCCTGGATGAGCATCACGCGCGGTGCCATGCCATTCTTCCTCATCCAACCGTGGACACTGGAGGCCGTGTTCCACGTGTGGCCGTTGTAGGTGCACACTCTGAGCTTGCCCTCGAGCTGCCCATGCGCCAGCACCAGAGCGCCCTGGTCGGGAATCAGGCGATTCAGCAGCAGCACCCTCCGTCCACCACTCCCAGCGTGGGCCCCGAGCCGCTCCCTCCTTTTGAGCCCTTGGGCACCAAGCTGGCAGGCGGGGTCCGCGGTGCCCAGGCTCGTCGCCGCGGTCGCCGGGACTGAAGACGCCATCATTCCTGTGGTCGCGGAGGCCAGTGCTGAAGTTGCCAGCGTCGGACTCCCTGTGCCTCTGTGTCGTTCCTGCGGCAGAGCCTCGCCTGCCTGGCCAGAGAGAGCAGTGGCCACTGCTTCCTCCCACTGCCACGGGGATCGACCGCCCCCCCGTCGGGGGCCGTGGCAGAGGGGCACCTGGAGGGGGGGGGCAGCTGTCCGCGCGTCCGCGGCTCCCTGTCTCCAGTTTGAAGCGTGCCATGCCGACCGTTGCTGGAGGAGGCCGCGCCAAGGCCCGCAACCTTCAGCTCCACGGTCGGCGAGTCCAAAGACGCAACCAGCTCTGTCCTCGCAGAGGCCAAACCCGAGGTCGCCCTCCAAGAGCTCCAGGTACCTCTACGTCGCTCATGTGGCGGGGCCTCCCCCGTCTGGGCAGAGCCGCGGTCGGCGCATCGACCACCCCCCCGTCGGGGGCAGTGGCAGCGGGGCACCTGGAGGGGGGGGCTGCAGTCCGCGCGCCCGCGGCTCCCTCACTCCAGTTTGTAGCGGGCCAGGCCGCCCGTTGCAGGGAGAGGCCAAGCCCCTCGCCGAAGAGGCCGCCCGATCGGTCGCCGAGCCCGACGATGCCATCTATCCCGAGGTCCCAGGGGTCGTCCCAGAAGTCGCCCTCCTAGAACTCCAGGTGCCTCTGTGTCGATCATGTGGCGGGGCCCCTCCCGCAAGGTCGGTGCCATGGTCTACGCTTCCTCTCACTGCCACGGGCAACAACCACCCCCCCCGTCGGGGGCCGTGGCAGCGGGGCACCTGGAGGGGGAGGCTGCGATCCGCGCGTCCGCGGCTCCCACACTCCAAATTGAAGCGGCCCAGGCCGACCGCTGCTGGGAGGGCCCATGCCCGTCGCCGAACTCGCCGTCCAAAAGGTCACCCACCGAGAAGGCGTGGCCGAACTGGTTGGACGCGAGGGCGCGGGGGTGTGACGGCAGGGGGCTGAATCCCCTTCCCCCGCGCCCAAATGAGCCTCAGGGCCCACGCGGCTACCCGCGGGGCTTAGCGCCATCAGCAGCAGGAGCAGGCCCTGGAGCAGCCTGGCCGCAGGCCTTCGGCTCGGCGCGCTGGCGAGCGAGCTCCGAGGCCGAGGCGCCGAGCTTCGCCGCGTTGCGACGGATCTGCTCCGCCGCGGCATCGCCTGCTGCGGGCGCCGCTGGGGCCGCCGCAGCCGCTGGCTCCCGCTGTTCCCCAGCGGGCTCCCCGCCAGCTGGCGGGGTCGCGGGGGCCGCTGGGGGCTCGGCTGCGGCCGCAGGGGTGGCCTGGCCATCCTCAGAGGTGTCGTCGCCGAGCTTGCGCTTCTCCTTGATCGCCTCCTCGGCCTCCTGCTTGATGCGCCGCAGTTGCTCCTGGCACTGCTGTTCGAAGTTCTGCTGAGCCACCCGCATGATGTCGTGGCCTTCCGCGCAGAGGCGCCCGAGGTTCGCCTGCGCCTCCTCCTCAAGCTCGCCGAAGTTCTCGAGGGACTCGGCGTCGAAATTGAAGGTGAGCTGCTTGTCAACCTCCAGGGCGGGCGCTCCGACTCCCGACGCCTGCGCCCGTCGGCGGAGGAGCTGGGCCTCCTCTGCCTGCGCTTCGGCGGGGTGGAGCGCACATGTGTCGCGCCAGCCGCGGCAGTCGACCAGCTGCGCCTCCGCAGCAGCCATGGCGTCGGCGGCTTCATCGAGCTGGCGCTGGAAGTTGACACGGCGGTCCGTGGCCGACTGCAGCTGCTGCTCCAGGGCCCCCTCCGTGGCCGCTGGCGAAGGCGGCCTGTAGCCCCTCGCAGCCTCCACTGCCTCACGGAGCCGCGCGGTGATGTCGGGGTCGGGGATGGCCAGCAGCTGGTCGAGCTCCGTCTGCGACGCCGTCGACCAGGGCGCGTCATGGAAGCTGGTGCGAGCCCCATGCCCTGAGGTCTCGCCCCCTTTTGCCACCTCCAGACTCAGCGCCGGTGCCGCCCTTGCCCTTTTTTGCCTCCCTTCGGCTGGGCCTTGCCACCGCTCCCTTTCTGCTCTCCGCCATCTGCCCAGACACCGTGACGCGGAGACAGCTTGGGAGGTGGGAGCTCCAGGCATTGGCCGCGCTGCCAACAGGTCGGATTCTTGTGGAAATTCCATCTGTAGCGGCAACCCGTGCAGATGACAAAGCCAGGGTGGGCCTTCTTCGGCGCCATTGCGAGCACGAGGGCACCCAAGCCTGCACAGTCGCGGGGCGGCGACAGGCAGCAGTCGACGGGGGCGGACCCGTCGACTGGATCAAAACTGTCAGGCTGAGGAACCCTGGCACTGGCCGCGGACTAACGGTATCCACGTGTTCCCCTGTGGAACAAACCATCTTGAGCCACAATGGCTATGGAGGAGGAGGAGGAAGAGGAGGAGGAGGAGGAGGAGGAGGAGGAGGAGGAGGAGGAGGAGGAGGAGGAGGAGGAGGAGGAGGAGGAGGATAGGAGGAGGAGGAGGAGGAGGAGGAGGAGGAGGAGGAGGGGAGGAGGGGAGGAGGAGGAGGAGGAGGAGGAGGGAGGAGGAGGAGGAGGAGGGGAGGAGGGGGGAGGAGCAGGAGGAAGAGGAGGAGGGAAGGAGGAGGAGAGGAGGAGGAGAGGAGGAGGAGGAGGAGGAGGAGGAGGAGGAGGGGAGGAGGGGAGGAGGAGGAGGAGGAGGGAGGAGGAGGAGGAGGAGGAGGAGGGAGGGGAGGGAAGGAGGAGGAGGAGAGGAGGAAGGAGGAGGAGGAGGAGGAGGAGGAGGAGGAGGAGGAGGAGGGAGAGGAGGAGGAGGAGGAGGAGGAGGAAGAGGAGAAGGAGAAGGTCTTCGGGAGCCAGACCACCCAGGCCCGAACATGGCCATGTCCAACGCCTGCCGCAGTCCCCGAGGACGAGCCCCAGCCAGCAGGCCTGGGATTTTTGCGCGTTTCGCGCCTTAACTCTGCCAAATGTATTGATTTTCCCGCCCGGCCCGCGGGGTCCGCGCAGCTACAGCGCTCGCGGCGAGCTGCTCCGAGGCCATCATGGAACGCTCGGCCCAATCTTGTGACGGAGGTGAACTTCTTGCGCTTGCCCCCCTTCCTTGCTCATCCTAAGGCGATGCCAGGACGAGGATGACATCGGGTAAAGACAAATCGGGGATCTCTGAGATCTCTGGGGCTCTAAAGGATGTCTCGGTCGCCGCGGCCTTCTCAAAGCCTTCCGGAACGCTCTGAGAGCATGCCGGAAGGCTCTGGAACGGATTTATCCTCTTCCTAGCCTCGTCGGTTTGTCCCCCTTCCTCGCTCATCCCCCCACCCGTGGCTCACGGTCGCCCAGGTGAAGGCGGAAACGGGCTTTTGGACAGATCGAGGCTGGAACACGCCGAAATCCTTGTTCCCAGCTCAGGTCGGAAAATACCAGAATTTGTGCTGCGTGTTACGGTGCTCTGTGTTGTGGTGATGTGTGTTGTGGTGCGTTGTGGTGTTCTGGGTTGTGGAGCTCTGTGTTGTGGAGCTCTGTGTTCAGGTGCACTGTAATGGTGCTCTGTGTTGTGGTGCCCTGTGATCTGGTGCTGTGTATTGTGGTGCTCTGTGTTGTGGTGCTCTGTAATGTGATAGTCTGTGTTATGGGGCTCTGTGTTGAGGTGCCCTGTGGTATGGTGCTCTGTGTTGTGGTGCTCTGTGCCGTGGTACTCTGTGTCGTGGTGATCTACGTTATGAGCAGAGGCGCTCCAATGATGTTCAGTAGTTGTCGACATTGTTTTCCCGCTCGAGCGAGCCACTGCTTCGCTTGACCCGGCTTCTTCTCGCTGACGCTCTACCCTCGGGGGCGGAGGATGCACATCAGCAGGAGGGGGATCCCCCGCCCTGGTGACACTACAGTCGGGGCGCTGACCTAAGGAACCCTAAATAAGGAACGAGGCCCCTTTTCTCCAGAACTTGAACTTCGATTTCCCTTCGAAAACCGAAGGAAAACGCGGGGCAAACGGCGAAATGATCAAGGAACACGGAGCCCCTACCCCTACCCAACGAAAAGAGTTCCTTCTTCAGCGCCCCGACTGTACGCCACCCGAGCGACGATCGACAACGGGCCTTACGCGAGACGACGCAGCGCGTGGCGACGTTGCGCGGCGGCTGACGCGGGCCGCCGGCACGGCTGGCGCCGCAATACTTGAAGCGAGGGCCCTCACGCGCCACCTCACGCCGCGGGAAGCAGACGCGGCGCACGTCGGCGCAGTCGAACCCGTCTTTTTTTGTTGCTCGGCAGCGAGCGAGGGGGGGGAAAGCGAGAAGGAAAAGGCCCTCACAGAAGGCTCGGAGGTCCCCCAGCCTTCTGAGAAGTGCTCGCTCGTTCTCCGAAGACCAGAAGAAACTTCTCGGAGGGCGCGAGGGCCTCTGAGGAGGCCCGCCTCCTTCTGAGGAGGCCTTCTCTCCTCCTCGCTCCCCCCCCCTCGTTCGCCGCCGATCTGTGTCGCTCACCTCGTGCACGCCGCTACGACGCGCGGCGCGGCGCCCGCGGCGGCCGCGCCGACGGTCCGGCAGGGACCCGCTGGCGTCGAGCCGCGGGGGGATGTACGGCCTGCGCGGGGGGGGTCCCTTGGCCCAGGCGCGCCCAGGCCGCTCTGCGGGAGGTCGCCGCCGACGACGACGACGACGACGACGACGACGAGGACGACGAGGACGACGAGGACGTCGACGACGACGACGACGACGACGACGACGACGAGGACGACGAGGACGACGAGGACGACGACGACGACGACGAGGACGACGACGACGACGAGGACGACGACGACGACGACGACGACGAGGACGACGAGGACGACGAGGACGACGAGGACGACGAGGACGACGAGGACGACAACGACGACGACGACGATGACGACGACGACGACGACGACGAAGACGACGAGGACGACGAGGACGACGACAAGGACCACGACCACGACGATACTGACGACGACGACGACGACGACGACGCTGAGGCCGGCTGCGCCGAGGACAACGGCGGCGCCGAAGACAATGGCCACCGTGGCGTTGGCCGCGGCGACGACGGTGCTGACGGCGGCGACGACATTCCCAAACCTCCGACGCTTTCCTGATTGTTTCAATTCGGGCATTGTTCCCCGATTTCGGCCCTCGGGGTCCGCTAGCTGCTACAGCCCCAGGGCCATCAAAAACGGATCTGGGGCGAAGTACTACCCCTGGAAAAGGGGGCGGTACCTTGGTTGTTCTTGAAAACGCCAGGGGCGTTTTTTTTCCGTCGTTTTCATCTGTTCGTGTTGCGATCGACCACCCCCCCCCAAAAAAAAAAAACTGCAACCAAAAACAGAAGAAACACAACACCGGCCAGGCCCAACACGAGCGAACAACGACAACCCCAAACAGAAAAAGCAAAAGAAGAACTGAAACCCAAAACAGAAAACAATTGACAGAAACGTGAATCAGACAAAAAACGGCAAATCGAAACACATAGAACACGGATCGCAAAACGAACCGAAAACGGCGAGACGGCAATCCCAAAACGGAGAAAACGGCTCCAAAAATATAGAAAAACGCCGATTTTGAAAATGAGAATACAAGCGCCCCAGCGTTTTCAGATCATCTGAGGCCAGGTTTTCTGGGGACGCGAATTGATAAACGAACACATCGGCGGATGTCTGGGTGCTGCCGATCGGTGGCGCGGGAGGCCAGGAGACAGAGCGCAGAGCCGCGCCTGGAGGCAGGAGGCACGGGGCACGAGGGAGGTTGACACGAAGCGAGCTGAGTATCGTTTCACCGACCCCTATCCCCATGGGCGTGGCCTGGGCCCCGCTGGCCGAGTTACCGCCCTGGACGGAGATGCGGGCCGCTTCCTTCGGGTTTCGAGGGGCACATCCCCAACTGGGGTGGTAAGACAGTGAGGCTCAGGATAGGTTTGGGTCGGGCGTGTCCTCCTACAGGTGGATGATGGACGAACAATACAAAATAGGAAGAAAAAAACAACAACAACAAAACACACATACAATCAAACAATCAGATTCCAAACATCGTCCCCTGACCATTTTGTAAACTGTTTTTGAATATTCCTCCTGTAGAGGGACATGCCCGACGTAAGATAGGGATGGGGATAGGGGTCGGAGAAACGATGCTGGGACATGGGGGAGGCTGACATGACGCAAACTGGGCAGGGGGGGGGGAACCGGGGCCCCGAACCCCGAGGCCTTCCCTCGGGACCAGCTCTCTCCATGGAGGGGGGCCAGGGACACACATATAAAGAAACACAAACCCCAGCATTCCCTATATATTTCCCCATGCTTTTCGGCTGTCCGTCCTCCCCCCTACTTCCCATGCTTTCCCGTACTTTCTGGGGAATCGACGATTCATTCTGCGGGTGTTTTTGTTTCCATTCTGATCCATCCCTCGGCGATGGACAAACCTCCCTTTAGTAGACCTCCCCTCAGTGAAAACAGCCATGGACCGAAACCGACGGACCTGGACCCGCAGAAACGACGGCCGCGACGCCCTCTCGCGAACCGAAAGGGGCCGATTCCTTCATCGACGTGCCAGGGTAGGAGGCCTGTCCACCCCCGAGCGCCCAAGACGGCCTCCAAGACGGCGCAGATGGCTCGAGATGGCCTCCACGCTCGACCAAGATGGTCCGACGTGGGCACCGAGATGGCCCCCGAGCGTGTCCAGGCTGCCCCCAAGTCCGCCCCACGGCCCAAGAGGCCCCCAAGAGACGGCCCAAGAGGCCCCCAAGAGAGGGCCTCCAGGAGGGCCCGAAGAGGCTCGGGGATGGACAGACCCCCCTTTAGTAAAACGTGGTTTAGTGAAAACGACCTCGGGCCCAAACCTGGCGGGCGCAAGCCTGGAAAATAGCGGCCGCGGCGCCCTCTCGAGACCCGAAGACGGACAATTCACTAGTCGACGTGTCACTGTTGGGGGTTCGGTCCACCCCCGAGAGGCCAAAATCATTGACGTTCCTCCCGGGAGCAGCCCTCGCGGACGGCCGCGGGGGGCCCCCGGGAGAGGCCCCCCCCCCCCTGGCGGCCCCGAGCGCCCGCGAGCAGGCCGAGCGCCCAGGGGCCCCGCCCGCGCCGACGGGGGCGAGGGCGGGAGGGGCGCGCCTGGGCGAGAGCCTCGCCCCGGACAGGGGGGGGGGGCAGAGGGCGCGAGGGTTATGTTGTTCCCATCCTACTAAAGGACCACATCCCAGAAATCATTTCGAGCACCCGGAAAAGTGCCAGAAGAGTGTCGAAACAGTGTCGACACGGTGTCGGGCGAGCGTCTCCCAGGGCCCGACACGTGAAGCCCACTGAGTTTCGGTACCTTTTGTGACGCTCGAAATTCGTTCTGGTGATCAAGGCTAAAGTAGGTTGGAACATCATAACGCGAGGGGCGGCCAAGAGGGGGGCGTCCAAGAGGTGGGGGCGCAAAGCATGGCCGGCGGCATGTGCGCGGAGCCAAGGGGGGGGGCCAGGGACGTGATGAAGCAAGAGGAGGCGCCGTGGGATCTGGGGAGAGCTCAGGGCCCCCGCCGTGATGTCCGCCCACCCCCCCCCTAGTCATCACCCCCCTCCTGGCCGCCCCCGAGAAGTGCACCGGAGCGAAGCCTGGCGTGGGGTCCGGTTTCCTGACGAGCGACCTGCATCCCGAGAGGCCTCTCAGACGGGGTCCGAGCAGGTGGGGTCGGAGGATCGCGCCACATCGCCGATACATCGGCGATGCATCGGCGATGCAATCGGCGATGCAATCGGCGATGCACTGGCGATGCATCGTCGACGTGGGCGATTCATCGGCAACGTCGACGTGGAGCAAATCGGGTTCCGCATCGAGCCGCATCGCCGATGTATCGGCGATGCGGCACGATCCTCCGACCCCATCTCGGAGGCCTAGAATCCCAGAGCCATTGGGCAGGGGCGCTTGAGCAGGAGAAAGGTAAAGGGGCTGCAGGGCATGAGCACGCACACCAGTGCTAGCCAGTGCTCTGTACTGGCTGTACTGGGAGCGCCAGGGGCTTGAAGGCATCTGCCTCAGGCCTCACTCTGGAAGGGCCTGCGCAAGATGCATGTATGACCCGAGAGTCCCGGGCTGAGGAAAGGGCGGACTGACTTGCCTGTCCGATGCAGGCTTGGCCGATCCTCCAGAAGCTGGCCCCCACCAGGCACCAGGGCAACGTGCGGCCTCAAAACGGAGGGCCGCACAAACGTAGGATCCGACTGCGCGCGCGAGAGAGAAGGGGGGGGGGAGGGAAGCACGAGACGCAGGGGATGAGGGGGGGAGCGGAAGCGAGCGGTGCGCATCCGATGCGAATTGAGGCACGGGGACACAAGCGGGCGAAGGGCGAGGCAAGAGAAAGCCGCGGGACGGCCGAAACCGCACCACCCCCACGCGGCCCTCAACCAGACCCGTGCCCCGCGCGGAATTCCTCCTCCTCCTCCTCCTCCTCCTCCTCCTCCTCCTCCTCCAGCCCACCCGTCCAGGCGGTCCACCGCACCCTACGCCTGCTGAGTGATCTGGATTAGTTACGCGCCGTTGTCGCCGACGCCGCTGTCGCCGCCGCGGCCGTCGCAGCTCGCGTCGTCTGATTCGTCGTCGTCGTCGTCGCCGCCACCTTCGTCGACGTCAACCCTGACATCCGACGACATCACTCTTCAATCCGCGGCCAGAAGGGGTCCCGACCCCATCCCTGGGGTACCATAGAAAACGCCCCAAACCAAAAAGAAGTGTTTCGGCAGAGATCTGGGGATGCCGTCGCCGACGTCACCGCCGTCGTCGCCGCGGCCAACGTCACGTCCTTCCTCGGCGCCGCCGTGCAGCCTATGGAAGGTGGACTGGCGCCGCATGGGGCGCAACGTCTGAACAGTGCACAGGAGCAAGAGAGGTCGGGGGCGGCCAAGAGGGGAGTGTCTAAGAGGGGGGGTGCAAATCATGACCGGCGGCATGTGCGCGGCCCAGCGGGGGGGCCAGGGGCGTAATGGAACAAGAAGAGGCGCCATGAAATCTGGGGAAATATCATGGCCCCCGCCATGATCTCCACCCCCCCCTAGTCATCACCCCCCTCTTTTCCGCCCCCGAAGAGGTCGCAAGTCGGCAATTCGGCGAGGCACAAGGCGCCTGGCCATAAAACCCGCGAGCACATCAAACCCAGGCGCGCCTGCGAGCGACTGCCCCTGACCCAGGCGCCCTGGGGGACAGACGAGGAGTTCCCGCCGCCGAGGCAAAAGGAAGTGCCGCTGGTTGGGCATGAGGGGAGGAGGAGGAGGAGGAGGAGGAGGAGGAGGAGGAGGAGGAGGAGGAGCAGGAGGAGGGAGGAGGAGGAGCGAGGAGGAGGAGCGAGGAGGAGTAGCGAGGAGGAGTAGCAGGAGGAGCGAGGAGCGAGGAGGAGGAGCAGGAGGAGGTGGGTGTCTGGCGCAGGGCACTCAGGAACCGACCCCTGCCCTCGGCGGGGCTGGCGGCGCACAACAGCGCGGCGCCCCCGGAGCGCACTCCGCACGGGCGCCCGCACGCTCCCGCGGGGTGACCTCGGCCGCGCCGCGCGAGGCTTCACACCAGCCTCGAGCTTTTGTCCCTACCCCTGAGATTGACGAGCCCAAAGGGAGGTACAGTCGAGATGTTGACCTAAGAAACCCTAAATAAGGAACGAGGCCCCTATGTTCCATAAGTTGAACTTCGATTTCGTATCGAAAACCTAAGGACAATCCAAGGCAAGCTGCGAAACAATTAAGGATCACGGAGCCCCTCCCCAACGAAAAGGGTTCCTTCTTCAGGGCCCCGACTGTACCCCTGAAATTGACGAGCCCAAAGGGAGATCACAATCTCGGGGATGCACCCTCCGAAACTGAGGGAGCTCTTGAGATCGGCATCGCGACGAGGCGGCACCCATCACGAGGACAGGGACAGGGCCATGCTGCAGGCTGGGAGCAGCCGGCCGCGGTCTCCCACGTCACGGGCCAGAGCTGGCCCGACGGCGTGTCGAAGGAAAGGGAATGGGGGGCACTAGTCAAGGCCTCGTAGATGGTGACGGAGTAGATGGGGTCGGAGGATCGCGCCGCATCGCTGATACATCGGAGATGCATCGGCGACGCCCACGGGAAACAAATCAGGCTCCACATCGAGCCGCATCGTCGATGCATCGGCGATGCGGCGCGATCCTCCGACCCCATCTACTCCGACCCCATCTGGGAGGCCCAGAACTGAAGACCTCCCAAACGGGGTCCAAATGGATGGGGTCGGAGGACCACGCCGCAACACGGACGCATTGCCAGTGCATCGGCGATGCATCGTCGACGCGTCGGCGATGCATCGTCTCCACGTCGACTCGCAGATCCGTGGGGTTCATCCCCTGGGAAGCCGAAAAACGCAACAAAAACCTTCCCGAACTCAGAATAAGGAGCCGAAATCTATACTCCGTCGCTTTTTCCCGCCCCGCTTTGAAACTTGCACACAAGAAAGCGGATCCTGGTGTACACGGGACCCTGGTGTATACAGTATTCGCTGCTCCCTGGGAGAGCGAAGAACAAGTATACCACACCACCCCGACGTCGTCCCCGACGCTCAAAAGTCTTGGAATTGACAAACAACCTGCCACTGGTAATGTGTACGTTCCAATTTCCGACATCTGGGGCAGTTCTTCCCCCCAGAGCCGCTTTTTGACGGTCCCAGGACCGAAAACAGCTGCGGGCCGCCGACAAAAACCACAAGAGCCTTCCCGAACCCAGGACCTCGAACCTGGCCCCTTCCGTGTCTGTCCTGGAATCTCTCACACTGGCATGCAGCAGCAGTGAACAACAACAAGCATGCAGATCAGCATCACCTCATGGCAAGGGTACCATGCCAGCCAATCTCTCCACTGTACTCATCACCAATGCTAGGCCATCTCAGATTTGGACGCCCGACATGGGTACGGAAAGAATGGGTACAATGCCCAACAGCAGTTCCGATTCATTTTGAACAGGACTCGCTGTCCACGCCGCCGCGGCCTGTGTTCATTTGAGACAGAGGGCCGCCTGCCCAACAGCGGCCGCTGTTGGCGTGGGACAACATTTGTTGTTGGGCATTGTGCCCATTCTTTCCGTGCCCATTTCGGGCGTCCAAGTATAAGGAGAAGGAATGGAGGACGAGAAGGATGAGGAGGTGGAGGAGGGCGAGAAGGACGAGGAGGACGAGGAGGAGGAGGAGGAGGAGGAGGAGGAAGGACAGCGTCCAAATCAGACTCCCAGACGGCTCCAGCCGGAGCCCACCTCCCCCGCCCTGTCGTTGCCCCCGACCTGCCCGCCGAGCAGGGCGCCGGGGGCCCCCCCTGCAGGCTGCCGGGGCGGCGCGCCGAGACGAGCGGGGGCCGAGGGCCTCGGCCCTGCGCGGCCGCGGCCTCGCTCGGCCGAGGCTCCGTGGATCGATCCGCCCTCTCGAACAGTGAAGAGCCCCCATGCTTTCGCATATGTTCAAGGTTTTCGTCTTCCCCCCCACTGCCCATAGTTTCGTCTGTTTTCCAATATTTTCAAGGTTGCCGTCTTCCCCCTCCACTTCCCATATTTTCAAATATTTTCCTATATTTTCAAAGTGTTCGTCTTCCCCCCCCCCCTTCCCATAGTTTCGTCTGTTTTCCCATTTTTTAAGGTTTTCGTCTTCCCCCCCACTTCCCATATTTTCGTATAGTGTCCTGGGGGTCGACGATTGATTGTGTCTGTGCTGCTTTCCCTCCTGCAACATGGCCCCCCGTCCTGCTCGGCGGAACCGACGCCTGCGGCCACCTCGGACCATCTCAGACCCCCGGCCGGCTCCGAGGGGCGCGAACGGTCGCAGGTCGTCGTCGGCGCCGTCGCCGCTCTCGGCGGCGCGCAGAGGGGGGCAGGCGGACGGGGGAAGGCCTCTCAGACGGAGGCTGCCTCTCAGAAGGCGCCGGCCTTACATCTGCAGACGAGGCTCGCGCCTTCTATCCAGAAGGCAGGGATGCTCCTAAGAGGCCTTCCTCCCTCCCCGACCCCCCTCTGCGCGTGGCTGGCACTCGGCGCTTGCGCGGGCAAGCCAAAGAGGTACCGATACTGCCACTCCCAGGACCCCTCTCGGGGCGCGTTCTGACCAGGATTTTTCGAGGCGCCTCCGGCGGTGGCGACATGGGCCTCCCAAGAGGCCGCAGAGAAACGGGGAACACCAGGGAAGCGTGGCGGTGTAGGCACCTGCTCCTCCTCGGAGCTTGCGTTAGCTCGGGCCTGTCCCCCTGCAAGGGGATTGTGGGCGGAAGATAAAGCAATACTCCAAAAATACCCCCCCATGGTCAAAAAGTAATCCAAAAATCGTTCCTTAATCATTTTTTTACTATTTGGGGACATCCCCCCCCCCTGTAGAGGGACAGGCCCGACCTGGCTCCCCCTCCTCCTCCTCCTCCTCCTCCTCCTCCTCCTCCTCCTCCTCCTGATCCTCCTCCTCCTCCTCCTCCCCCTCCTCCCCCTCCCCCTCCTCCTCCTCCTCCTCCTCCTCCTCCTCCTCCTCCTCCTCCTCTCCTCCTCCTCCTCCTCCTCCTCCTCCTCCGCTCCTCCTCCTCCTCCTCCTCCTCCTCCTCCTCCTCCTCCTCCTCCTCCTTCCTCCTCGGAGCTCGCGGGCGCGGCCTGGCTCCCCCGACCACGCGCTGGTCCAGCGTGTACCTCGGGCAGCGCGGCCGCGCGGGGCGGCCGCGCGGGGCGCCCGCCCAAAGGGAGCGGGCGGCCGCGCGGGCGCTCGGGGCCTCGGGGCCTGCGCTCGGGCCTCGAGCCCGAGGAGCGGGCAGCCGCTGGGCGGCGCCCTCGTGGCCGTGACCCAGGACGAAGCCAGGACGAGGAGCAAATGGGGTGAGGGTAGAGCTCGGGCGGGCGGCAACATGCTCCTCCTCCTCCTCCTCCTCCTCCTCCGACCAGCGTACTGCACGCTAAAACTCAGCAATACATTTGCGCACCAGAATGTACTGCACGCTCCAATTCTGATGCAACCCAGGAAATCGATTGCACACACCCCTTGTCGCTGGACCCCCCTTTGGTCTAAACAAAATTTGGATCACCCCCAATTGCCACTCCCCGAGGACCCCTGAGGGAAAGATTCCTGGACCCCGAGCAGGCGGCGACATCCAAACCCCACCATCACCAACCATCGATTCTGCTCAATCGACCAGGGGCAGGGGTAGCAGAGAGAAGAACATCCACGTTCATGAGAATCACCCCGACACGCGAAGCCGTTTAGTAAACGCACCCAAAGAAGGAATCGAAAAGGGTAGGGCTGTTGAGTAAACGCCCGGGGCCGCCGAGTAAGCGCCAATATCGGGTTCGGGTGGTTATTCCGCCCTTGAGGTAGAGTTCGGATTTCGCCACGTGTTCGACGAAGTCGGCGAAGACTCGGGCGGCGGGGGTCGTACCCCAGCCGCCCCTCGAGCCGCCCGAATCGTGGATCCACGAGGGCAGGAGGAGGAAGGGGAGGAGGAGGAGGAGGAGGAGGAGGAGGAGGAGGAGGAGGAGGAGGAGGAGAAGGAGGGGAAGGAGGAGGAGGAGGAGGAGGAGGAGGAAGAGGCGGAGGAGGAGGAGGAGGAGGAGGAGGAGGAGGAGAGGGAAAAGGAGAAGGAGAAAAAGTAACAAAGAAAAAAAGGGGAGGAGGAGGGAAAGGAGGAGGAGGATGAAGGAGGAGGAGGAGGAGAAGGAGTAGGGCTCGCGCTCCGCGGCCGAGGCGTGGCGACGGGGGCTCTCTAGGACGAGCAGCGGCATCAGTACTATCAGTAGGGTCTCGACCACAAGAAGCCTCCCACCAGAAACCCAACCCTGAGACCCCAGGGCGCCCCCTGATTGTGTTGGTGTGGGCACCTCACGGCTTCCATCGCAGAAAAACAGTCGACACCCAAGAAACCCGGGGCCCCCTGGAGGCAAGCAGGGTGCTTCTTGGCATGCGTCCCCACTTCATACTCATCCTCAAGCCCTCGCCTGGCCCCCGGCGCGGCTCGTGTACGGTCGGACCTGATTGGACGAGACACGCGAGAGAACACAAGGCCCTTCCGAGTGCCACCTTGCCAGAGGAATGCGGGAGGCACGGGTCGCGAGACACAGGACACAACGGCACCCTCGATTCGGCAGGGTCGACCTACTCATCCGGGCCGATGGTACCCCGCAGGGAGCTCCCGCGAAGGCCCCAGTGAAGGCGGAGGAGGAGGAGGAGGAGGAAGAGGAGGAGGAGGAGGAGGAGGAGGAGGATGAGGAGGATGGAGGAGGAGGAGGAGGAGGAGGAGGAGGATGGAGGAGGAGGAGGATGGAGGAGGAGGAAAGGGAGGAGGAGGAGGAGGGAGGAGGAGGAGGATGGAGGAGGAGGAGGATAGGAGGAGGAACGGGAGGAGGAGGAGGAGGAGGGCTCGCGCTCCGCCGCCTGGCGGCGCCGCCCCACTTCGGCGCGCACCCCTTCGCGCGCGTCTGGCCCCAGAAGGGGGTCGGCCGCGGGCCTCGGGCTCGGGCGCCCCTGCGATCCTTTGCGCCTCCACTCCCAGACCGCCCTGCGTCGGGTGCTCGATGCGAATGGGAGCACTGCGGTCTCCCTTCCTGCCGTCCTTCCTTCGCCCATCCTCGTCCTCGTCCTCCTTCTTTCCTGCTCTTTCTCGCTCCTCCTTCTTTCCTGCTCCTCCTCCCTCCTCCTCCTCCTCCTCCTCCTCCTCCTCCTCCTCCTCCTCCTCCTCCTCCTCCTCCTCCTCCTCCTCCTCCTCCCCCTCGCACCGAGACAGATATACTTCCTGGCTAGAAAGGAAAAGTACGAGACGGATGAGATAACGGCGTTCCTCAAACAACCTGAACGTGGGAAGGGCTCGAAGCCGTCGACTGCGATCTGAGAAGGGAGCTGGGGAAACGTTTGACCGCGACCACGCAGGGGCAGATTGTCAGCGTACGGATGGAACAAATCCAACGCGATCCAATTCCGCGACATGGCCCAGGCACAAGAAGATCCAGAGGGCATCATGAAAGAGTTGGGAAGATCACCGAAGCGAAGAGCTACAACGACATGGCAAATGCCTGGCTACTCATCATCGGTCCCCAGTAATGGCCAACATCGGACGACATGGAGTCAGAGAGAACCTCACGCCAGGAACACCGACAAGCCTCTTGGAACAATTCTTGGATATGGTGACAAGATTCAGGAGATCGCAACAGACACCTGAAAATTTGATATTTCATCATGTCTGGGCCTCGGCACAAGGTACGGCAAATTGGGAGGGTGCGCCGCTGGATCACCCAAAGGGGCGGGGGGGTCCGGACCCCCCCCTTTCCCCGATCCGTCGTCGGCGGACCCCCCCCCCTTGGAGCGTGAAATTCTGACCCCCCCCCCCCCTCCCCCCATTTCGCCACGCCGCCCCCTGGCTCCAGAACCCGACCCCTACCACACCTAACCATCAATCTAATCCCTGCCCTAACCCCTAACCCCTAACCCAACCCCCCACTCCTAACCCTAACCCCTAACCTTAAGCCTAACCTTGACCTCTACCCAACCCCTACCCCAACCCCTAATTCAAACCCTAATCCCCCCTAACCCCTACCCTAAGCCCTAACACTAAACCTTAACCCCTACCCAAACCCTAACCCCTACCGTAACCCCTGATGCTAACCCTCAGAACTAACCCTAACCCCTAACCCCTAACCCCAACCCCTAACCCGAACCCGACCCCTTACCCCGAACCCTGGCCCCTAACCCTAATCCTAGTCCCTGACCCTAACCCTGAGACCTAACCCTAACCCCTAACCCTACTCTAACCCCTAACCCTGACCCTTTACCCTAACCCTTACCCTAAGCCCTAATCCAACCCGCTAAACCCCAACCCTAACCCTGGCCGTGCCCTAACTTAAAGGGCCCTGGAAACGACAGGGGCGTTTTTGTCACCGGTTCCGTTTTGCCGTTTTTGTTGCCAATTCCAACGCATTTTTTTCACCGGCTCCGTCGCCGTTCTTTCACGGGTTCCCGCTCCGGTTCCAATCCTGGAGCCGTTTTTGTTGTCGTTTCCGTTCCCCGTTTTTGTTGCCGTGTCCATGTTCAAGGGACATTTTTTCGGAAACGGTGAAAAAACGGCCCTGCCGTTTCCGGGGCCCCCTAAGTGCCCTAACCCCTAACCCTTTACCCTAATCCTTATACCCCAACCCTATGCCCTAACCCTAACCCATAAACTCGACCCTAACTCCTAACCGTAACTCGAATCCCTAAGATTAACCCTAAATTTCTAATCCTATAAATATAAAACCGTGAATAACCGAAAAGCGGTCGTTATGTAATCCCGCTCCATCTACTGCAAAAAATAACAGTTCCTGCGCATGCGTGCAGAATCTCTTATTTTTGTTTCAGCACAAAGTGCCCAGTCCCCGTCGCGAACCGCCTCCATCTACTGCAAAAAATACCATATCCTGCGCATGCGTGCAGAATCTCTTATTTTTTACAGCACAAAGTGCCCAGTCCCCGTCGCGACCCGGCCCCATGCACTGCAAAAAATAACATTTCCTGCGCATGCGTGCAGAATCTCTTTTTTTACAGCACAAAGTGCGCCCCTCTTATGTAAACCCGCTCCATCTACTGCCAAGAATAACACTTCCTGTGCATGCGTGCAGAATCTCCTGTATTTTACCATGCAAAGTGCCTTCCGTTGCGACTCGATCCACCGACTCCACAAAATAGCGTTTCCTGCGCATGCGTGCAGAACCTCTTCCGCCCGACCCGACTCTTCCCGCTCGTTACAGCACTCGCGTGCCAACTGGATCGCACATCCGTCGTCGCCGTCGTCGTCGTCGTCGACGCTGTATTCGATGCGGTTCTAACGAGGGAAGAGATGATCTTTATGGTGGGGTGGCGTGCGGGTGGGAGTGACGGCCACCGCAGGTGGGTTCGCGGTCACGGTGTACTCGTGGCCACGCCTAGTAGAGCCTAAACCCTAACCCTAACCCCTCAACCCTACCCTGACCCCATACCCTAACCCTAACCTCTACCCTATCCCCCACCCTTACCCCTAACCCCCACCCTAAACCCTAACCCGGACCTAACCCCTAATCCTTAACCCTAACCCCTACCCTAATCCTAACCTAACCTCAACCCTAAGCCCTCACCCCCTAATCCCTAATCCTAACCCTAACCCCTAACCTTAAGGCTGAACCCTAATCCTAACCCCTAATCCCAACCCTAACTCCTAATTACCCTAACCCTAACCACTACCATGAACTCCTACCATTACCCTTACCCCCAACCCTTACCCTGACCCTAAACCCTAACCCTAACCCCTAACCCCTAACCCCTGACCCCTACCCGAACCCTAACCTCAACCCGAACCCCTAACCCCGAATACCCTCACCCTAACCCGAACCCCTACAATAAACCCAAACCGTACCCCTTACGCCTAACCCTAGCCCCTAACCCTAACCCGAATCCCAAACCCTAACCCTAAGAACTAACCCTAACCCCTAACCCCTACCCTAACCCCTAACCCTGACCCTAATCCCCAACCCTTACCCTAAGCTCTAACTCAAACCCCGAAACCCTAACCCCCCCCTTGCCTAGCCAAAGGGGGGGCGGGGGGGGGTCCGAAATCGCCCCCCCCGTCTCCAGCGCCAAGGAGGGGGGTGTCCGGAACCCCTCCCCCCCTTTCAAAGGGAGGGGGGGGGGGCCGGACCCC